AATGTTGTAATTTTTGTAAAGATGGAGTTTTGCCATGTTGCCCAGGTTGGTCTCCAGTCCTCAAGCGATTAGCCTCCCCAAGTGCTGGGATTATAGAGGTGTGCCACTGCCCAGCCAGAAACCAGTTTGTATGTTCATTTTTCCAGCTGAGGATTCCCAGACTGTGCTTGTAGTATTAAGCCAATATCAAGCCTATGAAAGTTATAGTCCTGAGTATTGAATATTCATTCCTAAGATGACCTGTTTTTTTCTCCCTCACAACTGGAGACAGACAAGCCATTGTGTTAGGTTTTTGTGCCCATAGATGAAATTTTCTGACCCATCTTTCTACTTTTGTGGTTCTCAGCTTTATACAAGGATCTGAATGCTAGCATCCATTTCCCATGGGTCAAGACCCTGTCTTCTGCCCCTTTAAGGATCGTCAAACTAATCACTTTTAAGGGTCTTCAAACCAATCTCCCAGGTTAAAGGGATGAGTACCTCTCCCATTACCTTTAGAAAAATAAGGAACCAGCCCATGAGCTTACTATTACTTTTGCAATTCCTGTCCATTTTGGACTTCCAGAGATTTGCATTTTATTCTTATGAGTTATACAACTAGCCCAGCATTTCTGGGTGTTTGTCGTAGGAAGATTTTCATATTATCTTGCCTGCCTGTCATATTGCTGGAACTATAGTGTTTATCCTAGGCCCAAATCTGAAGATATATGATATTTGAAAATTAAATCATAGATGTGGCTGGGCATGGTAACTCATGCCTATAGTCCCAACATTTTGAGAGGCTGAGGCTGGAGGATTGCTTGAGCCCAGGAGTTTGAGAACCAGCCTGGGCAACATAGCAAGACCCCACCTTTATAAAATAAAATAAAATAGAATAAATAAAATAGCTGGGCACAGTGGTGCATACTTATAGCACCAGCTAATCAAGAGGCTGAGGTGGGAGAATTGCTTGAGCCTAGAAGTTTGAGACTACAGTAAGCTAAGATTGTGCACTCCAGCCCGAGCAACAGAGTGAAACTTTGTCTCAAAACAAAACAAAACAACAAGAAAAAAAGAAACAGAAATCATAGGTGTATTTGGTAGCCAAAGATCTCATGATTAATTGCTTTAATCTCTCTTTTGCAATAGTCTCAAATCCTTTGCCCTATTTTCATTCCTGACAAAACTCCAATACATGTCTTGCCTTTGAATTTAGCTTTCTGCTATTTTCTAAACTTACACCTATACAGCAGAGCAACACTGGAGGGAAAAACCCTACAACCATGCAGATTGATGCCACTTCGTATTCACGGTCCTGCTTTCTACTAAAACTTTAATGCTGCTCTACAATCTTGGTTTACTTTATGAGTCATCTCTCCCATCCCACAACTATTTTAGAACTCACTTCATCCCCACTCCCTTCCCTGACCTTTAACAAAAATGTTTTCAACAGATAACCCTAATTTCTCCTTCCTAAAGGAAATAGAGACCATGAGAACACAATTTTCTCGAATTCCACCCACCAAACTTATGAATTAATTTATACCGAAAGCACCCCTCTTCTCTTTTCTTCCTACTACAGAAGGACATTTTGTCTTCCTCTCTAAGGAGAGTGACCATATTATTTATCGTGGAAGCTTGGATACTTCTGAAAGTAAAAGAGAGACTCTATTAATAATGATTCCAGGACAACAGGTGTAAACCAGAACTGTCCCGGGAAAACTGGAACATGTGGTCACCCTCCATATACTGTTTATCATTCCTCTGGGCCCCCAAATACAACCCTTGTGCATTCTCCAGTACCACATTCCCTTGAATATTTTCTTCTCTTATGTATGTTCAAATTTTCCTTCTTTCCAAGCTCAGTCTCATTAATATTTTAACATTTAAATTTTTTTAACATTTCAATCTTTTGCAAGGAGAAACCTTGCAATGCCACATGACCTACACACCGAACATAGCTCCAGCTACTGCTCCCTTTTTTGACTCCTCCCCTTTCTCTGACAAATCTATAGAAAAATTTGTCAGTTCCTCCTGTCTCTTTTTTTCAGCTCCCAACCTCTTCTTCATTTTCAGAATTCTGGCTTTTCCCTCATTTTCATCTAGATACTTCTCTTGACAATGTCACATAGGACTGTCTTATTCTTTAATTGAACAGGCAGTATTCAGTCTTACTCAAATTCTTAGGCACAGCTATCTTTGCAGCCTTGTGTCTGTTAGCTATCTTCTCTATTCCTCTGTTTCCTAAAATGGCATAATATGGGCCCTTGTCACAGACTTTTAGTGAGGATTAAACAAGATAATCCACATAAAATGTTTAGCATCAATGGCATCTTTTAAAGTGTTAGCCTTCCCATTGGACGTCCTTTCAGAAAGACATCCATGCTGTATTATGCTTGAGTAAGATGGTTCCATCACTAATTCTGTAGGTCACTGTTTGAACATTTTAAAGCAAGACCAAAGTACAGGATAGTTTTACATTGCCATTGCAGAGATCCAGCAGTCTGAAAATGGCAATCTAGAAAGGGGGCTTTACTTCTAGGTGGTAGAGTGTTTCTTTCATATTTGTTATAACAAAGATTTAGTTAACCCATTGTACTCAATCCATGACCTGGCATGTTTATCTTTATTAGAGGCTATCAATGACAAAACCCTGTCTTTTCCTGGATGCCAGTCTGTGATAAACATAGCCCAGCATCAAATGGTACCACAGAGTTCTTATTCAGTGTAGCCACTGCATAACTAATTTGCAGAGTTACAACTTGATACATACATATGCTCATCTGTCCCAACTGACCATGGCCCGGCCTCATCATCTTCAGCCCTCATCATTGCCAAACTGGCAGGAATCTGCAGGTACTTGTGAGGTTTCTCCAGTCATTTCTCAGTTGCTTTTTTTTTTTTTTTAAACTTGTTCTGAGTTGTGGGTTGAATTAGCCCTAAGTAGGTCATGTCTCCATTATTTCTTAGAGCTTCCAGAGCCAAAACAAATTTGTTAGAATTTTATGTTTTAATCATAACAATAACTATATTAGATGCCACTTATCAAATGCTTATTATGTGCCAACAATTGTGGTAAGCATGTCACATATTTTGGCTATTTTAATCGGGATTAAGATGAGGGTAGAAATAGACATGTGTGCTAAAATCATCTAACCTACTCTTAGAGTAACTTTAAATGATGTTATGAGCTCTCGGTACTAGCAAATTTAATAAAATCTCTAGCTTATATTAACTTTTAAAGCACTAAGAATGACCATTTAAAGGTTAGGAAAAAGAGGCAGTATTCAGTGTTACTGAAAGGCATGATACAAAATTAAATGATAGTACAAAACCAAACTGTACAACTCCAACTAATGGAGATTGGTGATAATTTTCTCTAGGCTGAAGCTAAAGCAATTTGTTTTATACCTATGAAGCTAGTGACCTAAATGATCAGGATTACATATTATAATACAGAAGGCTTATTTGTAATATTTTAAAGAGAAAAACTCTTTGTGATATTGTATACAAATGGATAGCATTAATTCTCCATTATTCCTTAGATCTAGAAATAGAAAACACAGGATCTACTAGGCAGACAGATATTCAGTGAGTCTGAATGTGTGTCTGAGTGGGTTTGTAGGTTTATTTAGTTTTCACTGAATATATAATATCAACTGGGTTTTGAATACTAAGCTTTAAGTAACATTGATAATTTAGAAGAAATTAAATTACAGCAACTTGCTGAAAATGTATTTTTATATTCTGACAGCCACTATTCCCAACAACCTCATTATTTTCCATGAGGAGTTAATGGAAATTTTATGAGGAATTGGTATAATGACATAGTAAGGATGTTACTTCAATTAGAGGCAAATGTGGGAAACGAGATCATCAAGGCTGAGAGAGAAAGGCCCGTCAAGGAAATAAAAATAATCTTAGAGGAGCTAATAGAAAACTATATGAGTGAGAAGGAAAATATGCAGAAAAAGATAGATTTTGGTCTATGGAAAGTAGGATGGAATCAAAGCAAAATATGGAAAACTCTTGAAGTCTTTCCTGATTGCACTAATTTGTGCCAGTATGTGATACTCTATAACACTTATCAATCATATAAGAGAAAATCAGAAAAACAGAGGATGGTTCTTATAGCCAACACTTATTGAGGGTGCACAAAGGATGAGACTCTCTGCTAAACACTATTAACACCTAACTTCATGAAATAGAGCAAACCCCACTTAACAGACAAGAAAGCTAGGAGCCAAAGATGTTAATTCTCTGGCATACAACAGGAAGAGCTAGGAAGGGTTTGTACTCAGTTTACTCATCTAGTAGAGGTGTACTGGTACTTCTTTTTTTTTTTTTTTTTTTTTTTTTTTTAAGCAAAATGTGGTGCAATTTTAGGCCAAGAAGGATCTGAGTAACAAGTGAATATAACACCTAGACCTATTTGAATTCTGATTTCTCAGTGAAGATGTTTCACACCAAGTTATTGAATTAGCTGATTAAAAAATATTTTCAGAGAGAAACTAAAAAATATTTTGACAACATAACTCATAGAACTGGGATTATTTTTGGCTTTATAATTTGAGTTAATTTTTTTCAAGCTTTATGATAGAGTACTATCTGAAAATAGCTACTTTCCCCATCACATCCTTTTAAAGTTGTTCTATATGATGAAAAAGATTATAATTACTGTGCCCAAATTTATAAATGAGGAAGGATTGTCTAAACCAGGAAGATGTTCTAAAATGGTTTTCCATTATTTTACTGTTACAGTGAATTTAGTCTGTTTTGGTAAAAATTACCAGTGATTATGAGTAAACAATGGAATATGACTTTTTATACTAGTGAAAATTTCTTTCTTTTTTTAGTTTTTCTTTTCTGTTATCATAGGCTTGACCTTATGGCCTCATATCTGAGACAATTGAGGGAACTGGGCTGCCCACATCTCTTTTCTCCCAAGCCCCAGTGCAGCCTTCACAGTAGAGTGAGAGGCCCCTGGTCACACTGTGAGGGGAAAGAATGCAGCTCCTTACCCTCAACTTCCAGCTTCACCACTTTGGAATATGCTGTCCCGAGGCTGTTTTTTGCCACACACCGATACTGTCCTGCATCTTCCTTTTGTACATTATGAATCCTCAAGCTCCCAGATTCAAGAACTGCAGTTCGGGAGTTTTCCTGCCAGAGATAGGGACGTGAATTCAAAAATGTGTATGGGTCTATCAGGTATACATTTGGCAAATATCATCAGCTTATTGTCATCACTATTATCATCAAATATATCACTTTGACTTTTATTGGGCCTTTATTCTGTAAAACACACAATATTAAATGAAATGATGCAGGGGTACCTAAATGAATCTTCACCAGGATCCTATGAGGTATAGTTTATTTTTACTTTCTTTCATCACATGAATGTATAGATAAGGGCTTATTTCACTTCCCTGAAGTCGCAGCTAAGTCTAATGAAAAGCAATGCTTTAGAAGGAAGGGATGTTGCAGATGGGGGTAGTGAGAGATACAAAACTACATCCTGGGTATAATGTACAGTACTCAGGTGATGGGTGCACTGAAATCTCAGACTTGGCCACTATACAGTTCATTCTTGTAACCAAAAACCACCAGTACCCCAAAAGCTATTGAAATAAAGATAAATAAATAAACACATTGCTTTTAACCATAGGGTCTACCTCACACCCTGTATATCTTTAGGAGAATACTTGTCCTTTGATATACTAGAAAATTTCACATATGATATTAAAATTACTCTTTGGAGTTTAAATATTCCATCTGTCTTTTCTGTTTTGGACCCTAAAATCACTAACGTAATTACAACCACCCTTGTTTGTCATTGTAGGAAAAGCACCAAGATTTATAACAAAAGGAAAGCCAGAGAATTAGATAATCATTATAAATTAGCAATACTTATTTTATTTTAAATAAAGCAAAGCTGAGCAATTTTATACCTTAGTTCAGTTAATTGACATATAGTGACACCTTTGTATTCTACATGGAATATGCTGTGTATTGTTAAATGAAAAGCATAGTTTGTGATCCCTTAAGTGATGCAAAGATAAAGACAATAATGATGCTGTATGATAATTTATCACTAAATGTGGGGATAAGATACAGAGACAGTACAAAATAAGCATATAGATAATAACTTTTTTTTTTTTTTTTTTGAGATGGAATTTCACTCTGTTGCCCAGGCTGGAGTGTGCTGGTGTGATTTTGACTTACTGCAACCTCTACCTCACGGGTTCAAATGATTCTCCTGCCTCAGCCTCCTGAGTAGCTGGGATTACAGGTGCACGCCACCATGCTAGGCTAATTTTTGTATTTTTAGTAGAGACAGGGTTTCGCCATGTTGGCTAGGCTGGTCTTGCACTCCTGACCTCAGGTGATCCACCCTCCTTGGCATCCCGAAGTGCTGGGATTACATGTGTAACTACTCGTTGTGACTCAGGACGGATTTGCCAAGGTATTTGTCTGTAAGTCTTGAGTCTTTTTGCCTAACTTCTCTCCGGTGCTCTCATTTATTTTCTTCTGAACATTGTTTCCCTCCCTCCTTCCAGAAACTGTCAGTTTTAAAGCCTGAGCCTTAGTTTCTCTTTTTCATCCTCTAAGTAAGTCCAAGATTCAACATTAAAAAAATAAATGATTTAACCAGCCAACAAATACAAAAAAAATTCCAGGTTTGCTTTTGCATTGCCTCCTTTTCTATCTTTAACATTACTGGTTCCTATCTCTTTTTTCCCTAGCCAGACCCAAGTGAAATGCCATACAGTTTGCATATATGCAAACAGAAGTACTTAAATTTGGTTAAAATGTATATGGAAACAATATTATATTAGAAGTTTGTAAGTGTATAACTGAGTGTGCAAAGAAATGTTACATTTTTAAATACATTATATATACAAGTTTTAACATCATAACCACTTACCCTGAGAGGGCTGTCTCCCTTTATCCAAGACACTGATGGTTTGGGATTGCCCATTGTAGTACATGGTAGGACTGCTTTTAATCCCTCTATTATTTTCACGTTTATGGGAGGACGTGTTATTTTAGGTTCTAAAAAGAAATGAAAATTCAAAACAAACAAGGCAATATGGGTTGATGAAACCTAGAGTTTATAACTTTCAATTTAATTCTAAATATCTGCTTTAAGAATCATTTGAGGCATGTTACATTACAAAATTCACCAACTGCTAAGACACTTTTATATCTCAAACAGAAATCAGTTTGGAAACACTTGATTGTCTCTGCTTTATTAGAATCTTACTAGCAAAACCCAAATTTATGAAAAATATTAATAGTGTTAAGTTACCATAGCATTCATTTTAAAAGATAGTTAATAAAAGTTGATTAACAAAGGCTGTCATCATAGCAATTCAACATTATTTAATTTATACTGATAGACATAACATTTGAAAAAAATTGATATAAATATATTCTTATATAGTTATAAATTATGACCTATTTTGCCTTTAGCGTCCATCTTAATTTGACTATTACATTTGATGTTTATTAATTAAGTACATTCATTCTCTAGAAAGTAAACCAGGTATTATTATATTAGAAATTAGAAGAAATTCTGTCATACAATTTGGGGGACTTAACTATGTAAAGCAAACATGTAATTTACTGTTCAAACGCTCAAGTAAATCTTTTAGAAGAAATAGTTTATGTCAGCTGATTTTTATTCTCCAGTATGAAACTTTCAAACAAAATTATTACATCTAATAAACAAAATAATTTATAAGTTCAGGATACCAGTTATTTTAGTACTATTCATAAGATGGTTAAAACTATATTTATGTCCTGAGGAATTTTATGTTACAGATACAGAGGGGGACTGGCAGGAGAGACTGCTGAGAAATTGACACATTTTATTTCTTGCAGGACATGTGCCATAACCAATTTGTTATTTTGACAAAGGAAAGCATGAAATAAGGACTTTTTTTTTTCCCCTTCTACTTCAATGTGTGAAAGAGGAGTGGGGGCTTTGGTGTTGGTAGTAAGAGATATTTGCAAAGCCTTCATGACCTGTTGTTTTTTAATCTAAGCATTCACTGCCATTTATCTCCTGTGGCCCTGCGTTATGGCAAAATTACAAGAAAGACTTTAAAACATATTATAGGAAAATAACAACTTTATCACTTTGCCTGCTATCTATAGCATACAACTTCCTTCTAATAAACTGTAAATACCTACATTTAGATACAGTACTGGCCAGGTCCCTGAATTGTGAGTTGTATTGTCATTGAGTTGCTGGCAGAAACTTAGAACTTGATATTCCTATGACAGTCAACAAAAGCATTATCTATGCCTTCCATGGGTTCCCTAAACAAGATCTCTATGGAAAACCTGAGGCACAGATAATGTCTTAGGTAAAGGCCTTTGATTAAAGCAAAAATCTCCTGTCTTCTCAGTGACATGATGTCTTGGTCATACGTTAGATGAGATGTGAGGAATTCCCATTTAGGAAATTGAATATAAAGTCAACTAGGAATGACTAGAGTATTGACGCATAGCCATAAATACCCATTGTAAGGGAACATCATTCAGGGTGGAGTCCTAAGTACTGACCAATCAGAACTGGTTATCTTAAAGCAGGATGCTGGAAGGATCCCACTCTGCCAACATCGAGACTTTAGCTGATGGACCATTAGAAATTTAGAGGAGGGAGCTCTTGAGGGAGGGCTTAAGAGAGCTGGAGTAGTGACAGGGGTTGGGGGATCTTGGGAGACTTTTCTAAGAAGTATGGAAGCATTCCAAAATTTTAGCAATTTGAATGGCCACACCAGTGTATATCCACATGAATGGATGAGATCTCCAAAGGAGAGGTTGGAAAAAAGAAGACAAGAAAAGGTGGTTTAATATAGAACATTTGGGCCAGAGAAAACATGCAATACATTCAAAAGAAAGGAAGTGTCACAAAGTAATGAAATACTTGAATGTGTTTCATCCTCAGAATCAAGTCTTTATTATTTAGCAAATGAGAGCATTCCAACTTCCTTATTTGATTTCTTACTGCTCTGCCTACTGAAGGGAAGCCTGCATATAGGCAGATCCCTACCTGTAAGTGCCAAATCAGTATTCCATAAAGACTTGCTGTTCCTACTAGCTTCTTATCCTAATTAACTGAAGACTCCATGTATATTTATGACCAAAAAATAAAACATCTATTTGAGAAAAATTGTAAACATAAAAGGATGGAACCAAAACAAATCATTTTTTTTGAGGGAAATAAAAGTAAAGCAGGGGGAAAAAAGAAAATGTCTTTTAAAAAGATGTAGTAGTGATATCCTTAGAAGTTTAAATAAATATTGTATCACACAAGTGACTTTGTTATGGAAAAAAGAGCCATCAAGGAAATTCTTAGAAATTAAAAATATAGTTTTTAAGACCAAAACACTCAGAATGACAGGATAGTCATACTGGAGACCACATTGATGATATGAAGGAAAAGTTAAAGGACTCTTCAAGAGAGTAGAATATCAAGACATGCAGAAAATATGAGAAGAAAAATTTGAAGTCATAGAGAAAAAAAGAGAAAAAAATACTAAAGAAAATGTACCTGATTTTCAAAAAAGCTTTGGTTTTTATATCAAAAAGGCCCACCTATAATCTCAATACTTTGGGAGGTGCATGGCTCACTCCTATAATCTCAATACTTTGGGAGTGCATGGCTCACTCCTATAATCTCAATACTTTGGGAGGCCAAGGTGGGAGGATCATTTGAGCACAGGAGTTTAAGACCAGCCTATGCAACATAGTGAGAACTTATCTCTTCCAAAAAAAAAAAAAAAAAATGAGCATCATGGCTCATGCCTGTAGTCCCAGCTACTTGGAAGGCTGAAGCAGGAGGATTGCTTAAGCCTAGAGAGTCAAGGCTGCAGTGAGCCATGATCACACTACTGCACTACAGCCTGGATTACATAGTGAGACCTTGTCTCAAAAAAGAAAAAGAAAAAAAAAAGCCTCACCTTAAACTGAGTAGAAATAATTTTAAAAAATACACCTAATATAGTCTTGTCAGTTTGTGAAATTTATAAACTCTAGAAATAAAAAGAAAAATCCTAAAATTTTTGAGCGAGATATCAGATTTACTTGTAAAGAAATAAGAAAAAGACTTCTCATCTGCAACAGTGGATTGTCTACTAAAACTAAAGGGAAAAGCTTTTAAAACTCTGATTCTACACCCAGAAAAATTGTTATCCAAGAATGTGAGCGAGGTGAAGAATTCAGCCATGGAAAAATTCAGAAAATACCTTACATCTTCACACTCTGAATAAAGTACCTAATGATTTCCTCCTCTAGCAAAATTACAAAAGATAAGAGACAATGATGAAAGAAAAATAAAGGTCCCAGGTAGAACTAAATTTCTTTAATTTGTGTGGTGCTAGTATGTATGGTTATAAGATATTTTCCCATGAGTAATATGTCAGAAAAGAGAAAATGAAGGTTACATCATTGTAAGATTGACAGTTTGCAAGTAGCAGTTACTTGCAGGATAGGAAATCATGAGATTTAAAGATGCTGATAAGGCAGTATTTGATGATACACCACCAGGTAGAAGAGAGAACTAAGTATAGAAGGAAATAAAAGCCCAATTGAAGAGTCAACGGAAAGGAGAACAGAGAGGAATCAAGGGAAGAGAACATGATGCTGGTGATGTTGATGTTGTATAGCAAGAGTAAGAGAATGAGGGAGACTGAGATGTTGTTAGCTGAGAAGGTGACAATAGAAGTTTGTGCCCACAAACTCTATTTGGAAGCAAGTCATGAGTATGGGAAACTGTTTATCTCATCTGACAAGGCTGGACCAAAAAATATCCATAATCAGAGAGTGACATACTGGAGCTGAAGATTTTAAATGCAGTCTACTTCCAGAGGGTGACATGGTCAAGAGTAAGTCATTGATTGGGTAAGCTGATAAAGATTTAATACAAACAGGCTGGGTATGGTGGCTCATGCCTGTAATCCCAGAACTTTGGGAGGCCAAGGCGGGCAGATCACTTGAGGTTAGGAGTTCAAGACCAGCCTGGCCAACTTGGCAAAACCCTGCTTCTACTAAAAATGCAATTAGCCAGGTGTGGTGGCACATGTGTATAATCCCAGCTACTTGGGAGGCTGAGGTAGGAGAATTGCTTGAACTGAGCAAGCAAAGGTTGCAGTGAGCCAAGATCACACCACTGCATTCCAGCCTGGGTGAAACTCCATCTCAAAAAAAAAAAAAAAAAAAAAAAAGAAAGTTAATACAAACAATCTAAATACAAATACCCACTAAATACCCATTAACAATAGATGGGATAAAGAAAATGTGGTACATATACACCATGGAATACTATGCAGCCATAAAATGGAATGAGATCATCTCCTTTGTAGGGACATGGATGGAGTTGGAAGCCATTATCCTCAAACTAACACAGGAACAGAAAACCAAACACCGCATGTTCTCACTTATAAGTGGAAGCTAATGATGAGAATACATGGACACACTGGGGGAAAAACACACACTGGGGCCTGTGGTGGGGGCGTTGGGAGGAAAGGGAGAGCATCAGGAAGAACAGAATGGAAGCTGGGCTTAAAACCTAAGTGATGGGATGATCTGTGCAGTATACCACCATGGCACATGTTTACCTACATAAAACACCTGCACATTCTGCAGACGTATCCCTGAACTCAAAATAAAAGTTAAAAATAGAAAATCAAACCACATTTCCTCATAGTGGGAGACTCACCTAAACTACTACTATATATGCATGTACATAGAGATTAAGAGTATGGGCCTTAAAACTGAAAGGAAGAAAAAAAAAGACAAACATCACTGGATTTGTGGAGGTCAAGGAATTGTGAGAACTAAGTGGCTAGTGGTTCTATTTCATGGCCGTTAAAATTTCTTAGGGTGATTGCAGGAGTAGAGATAGATAGAAGATAGTAAACCTGGAATCAAAGTCTTTAATAAATATGGGGCAGTTCCTAGAAGAGCAGATGACATAATGAATAGAGTTAGAGGAAAGATAGGTCAAAATGGCATAAGCCGTCATGAGAGGAAAGATTTTGCATAGGAATACAAAATAGAATGGCTTAAGAGCAGCAATGAGGCCAGGGAGATTACCTGTTAGTGTTTGATAGCCTTGAAGACATGAAGCAGGGAAAATAGAACAGCTTCCACTGAAGCAGAAAATCACTCAGAAGAATATCAAATTTGAAATAAGGCAAAAGGGCAGAAGTGTCTACAAAGAGGTTAGGAATAAAAAGGGTGTCTGATTGTGTTTCACAGGGGTAGGGTAAAGGCTTTAGAGGAAAGTTTCACAGTGAAAGAATTCAGGGTGGAAGAAGTCAGGAGATATGTGAAGTCAAGAAAATGGGAGAAGAGAGAGAATTGAGAGGCTTGTTTAGGGTAGTGGTTGATGGCAGACATAAGAGGTGTGCAGTTAACTGGCCTCAAGGTTATGCTTTGACCTTGAACTTGTCTCACTGCTGAATTGCCAGGCCTGAGAAAACCTCTATTTACTGACTATTTTAAAGTATACCAAGTCAGGCTGGGCGTGGTGGCTCATGCCTGTAATCCCAGCATATTGGGAGTCCAAGGTGGGTGGATCAACGAGGTCAGGAGATCTAGACCAGACTGGCTAACACAGTGAAACCTCATCTCTACTAAAAATCCAAAAATCTAGCTGGGCGTAGTAGCACGCGCCTGTAGTCCCAGCAACTCAGTAGGCTGAGGCAGGAGAATTGCTTGAATCCAGAAGGTAGAGGTTGCGGTGAAGATTGCACCACTACACTTCAGCCTGGGCGACAGAGTGAAACTCTGTCTCAAATAAATAAATAAATAAATAAATAAATAAATAAATAAATAAATAAATAAATAAAAAAGTGTACCAAGTCAACTTTCAAATCAATAGACAAATCTCTTTCCCACTCACTCATCTTCACTTGCAGGGCTCCACAACTCTCCACAGCTCCTCCCACACCATTGTTGGCTGTGCAGCAGTAAATGCCATCATCACTATCTTCCACACTCAGGATGGTGAGGAGCTGCCCATTCTCCCGGATGCTGTACCGGGTGTCAAAGAGCCTGCAGGTCACAGAGAAAAATGACAGATTAGTGCTTCATCTGTGATTTTTCGGCTATGATTAATTTATCAAACTGATGACTTGTCAGTGAGGAAGTAGAAAATAGGGGAGAGGAATATTGAGTGAGCTCTGAATAATAGGATAACCATACTTGGTAATACAAAGCTAACATTATATTCTAATCTTTCTTATGACGCTCCAATAGTCAAAGTACTATAGTCCTTCAAAAATGATTTCAAAGGGTGATACCTACTGATAAGACAAAATTTAAAGTTTACTTAATTCAGGAAAGCATATCAAACCCAGATATAGGTGTCTTGTCCTGATAATTTCTGGGAAGTAGTAGCTATTAATAGATAATGAAGATGCATATGTATAAATGTGATGAACAAAGGGTTAATTATTTATAGGATTAACTAATGATTAGTTGAATATTCATTCTTTCATTAAACAGTTATTTGTTGAATGCTAACAAGTGCCAGGCACAGTTCTAGTTACTTGGGATCATAAGAAAGCAAAACAACTTCCAACTATAAAAATATATACTTTATGTATATTATCTAATTATATGCAAACCATTTGTTGAGAAGAAAATTAGGGCAACAAAAAGATATTTGAAGAGAAGCATCAATATAAAAGCGAGTTTCTTTTAACCAAATAAGATTTTTGTGTGTGTGATTATATTTTTTTAATTGTATTTTAGGTTTTGGGGTACATGTGAAGAACATGCAAGATTGTTGCATAGGTACACACACGGCAGTGTGATTTGCTGCCTTCCTCCCCATCAACTATATCTGGCATTTCTCCCCATGCTATCTCTCCACAGCTCCCCCACTCCCCGCTGTCCCTCCCCTATTTCCCCCTGACAGACCCCAGTGCCCAATAAGATTTTTTTTTTTTATGGCAAATGTGTGTGGTAAGCAGAATAACAGTCCCTCAAAGGTTCTTGTCTTAATCGCCAAAATCTGTCAGTATGTCACCTTACTTTGCAAATGTTAAGAATCTTAAAATGTGGTGTTCTGGACTATTCAAATGGGCCCTGTGTAATAATAAGTATCCTTAAAAAAAAATGGAAGAGGGAGGCAGATTGATAAAAGGAGTAATGAAAATGGAGGCAGATGTCAGAGTGGTCCTATTGCTAGTGTTATAAATGGAGGAGAGGCCAAGGGATGCAGGTAGCCTCTAGAAGCTGAAAAAGACAAGAAATCAGATTCTTCCCTTGAGCCTCCAGAAGGAACTCAGCCCTGCCAACACTTTGATTTTAGCCCAGAGAGATTTATTTCATACCTGTGATCTCCAGAACTATAACGTAGTACCTTTATGTTGTTTTATGCCACTAAGTTTGTGGTCATTTGTTACAGAAAGAATAGGAAATAAATACAGATTCTAGTACCTGAAAGTGTGGTGCTGCAGCAACAAATCTCCCAAAAATGTGGATGTTGCTTTGCGATTGAGTAGTAGGTAGAACTGAAAAAATTTTGAAGAGCATGCTAGAAAAAGTCTACATTTCCTCAAAGAGACTGATGCATGTTAGTAATTCTGCTCCTTAGGACTTGGAAGGAAGAGAGTTACATGGCAGAGAAAATCTAAATCATCTTAAAGAACACCTAAGTTATCATGAACAGACTGTTGGTAGAAATATGTATGTTCAAAGCACTGCTGATGAGGACTTGGGTGAAAATAAGGAGCATGTTACTAGGAAAGGAAGAAAAGAGGATCCTTGTTATGTAGGACAGGGAGCTTAGCTGAATGGTGTCCTGCAGTTATGTGGAAAACAGAGCTTAGAAATGATGATCTCAGATATTTAGCTAAATAAGTTTCTAAGCAATGTGTTGAAGGTGTGGCCTCATTTCTTTTTGCTGCTTCTAGTAAAATTCAAGAGGAAAAAGATAAGTGGATAGAAAACCTGCTAAGCAAAAAAGGAACTAGGACTTGATGATTTGGGATTATCAGCCTATCCAAATTGCACAGAATACTAGCAAACCAAATTTGACAATACGTTGGAAAGATCATCTCTCATGGCTAAGTGGAATTTATCCCTGGGATACAGGAATAGTTCAACATATGCAAATTAATCAATGTGCTGCATCATGTAAACAGATGAAGGGTAAAAACCATAGGATTATTTCAATATATGCTGAAAAACATTTGATAAAAATTCAACATCTTTTCATGATAAAAAACCCTCAAAAACAGAAGGAAAATGCCTCAAAATAATAAAAACCATGTATGACAGACACACAGCTAGTATCATACTGAATGAGGAAAAACTGAAAGCCTTTTCTCTAATCTGGAATGCAACAAGGATGCCCACTGTCACCACTGTTACTCAACACAGTACTGGAAGTCCTACCTAGAGCAATTGGACAAGAGAGAAATATAAAGGGCCGTCCAAACTGGAAGGGAAGAATTATATTTGTTTGCAGATTTTATGCTCTTATATTTGGAAAAACGTAAAGACTACACAGAAAACTATTAGAACTGATATATTCTATGAAGTGGCAGGATACGAAATCAACATACAAAAATCAGTAACATTTATATATGCCAACAATGAACAGTATGAAAAAGAAATTTAAAAAGTTATCTTATTTACAATAGCCACATATAAAATTAAATAGCCAGGAATTAATGAAAACTATAAAACACTGATGAAAGAAATTGATGAGGATACCAAAAAAAGGAAAAAAAAAAAGAAAAGAAATCATATTAATGGATTGGAAATCAGTATTGTTAAAATATCCATACTAACCAAAGCAATCTACACATTCAGTGCAATTCCTATCAAAATACCAATGACATTTATCACACAAATAGAACAAAAAAATTCTAAAATTTATGTGGAACCACAAAAGGCCCACAATAGCCAAACCTATCTTAAGCAAAAAGAATAAAACTGGAAGAATCACATTGCCTTACTTGAAATCATACTACAGAGCTAGAGTAACTAAAACAGTATGGTACCTGCATCAAAAGAGACACATAGACCAATGGAATAAAATAGAGAACTCAAAAGAAATCCACACACCTACAGGGAACTCATTTTCAAAAAAAGTACTAAGAACATACACTGGGAAAAAGACAGTCTCTCCAAGAGTAAAGAATGTGTGGAAAACTGGATATCCACATACAGAAGAATGAAGCTAGACCCCTACCTCTCTCCATATATAAAAACCAAATCAAAATGGATTAAAGGCTTAAATCTAAGACTTCAAACTATAAAACTACTACAAGAAAACATTGGGGGAAATCTCCAGGACATTGGTCTGGGCAAAAATTTCTTGAGCAATACCCACAAGCACAAGCAATCAAAACAAAAATGGACAAATGGAATCACATCAAATTAAAAGGCTTCTGCACAGCAAAGGTTACAAGAAACAAACTGAAGAGATAACCAACATAATGGGAGAAAATATTTGAAAACTATCCATCTGACAAAAGATTAATAACCAGAATACATAAGGAGCTCAAACAATAAAATATATAAGGAGCTCTACAATAAAAAAAATCTGTTAATCCAATCAAAAACAGGCAAAAGATTTGAACAGTTTCTCAAAAGAAGACATGCAAATGGCAAACAGGCATATGAAAAAGTGCTCGACATTATTGATCATCACAGAAACAAAAAAAACTACAATGAAATGTCATCTCACTTTAGTGAAAATGCCTTATATCCAAAAGACAGGCAATAACGAATGCTGGCACGGATATGTGGACAAGGGAGCCCTTGTACACTGTTGATGTGGGAATATAAATTAGTACAACCACTATGGAGAATAGTTTGAAGTTTCCTCAAAAAACTAAAAATTTAGCTTCCATATGATCCTGCAATCCCACTGCTGGATATATAAGTAAAAGAAAGGACATTAGTATATCAAAGAGATATCTGGACTCCTATGTTTGTTACAGCACTGTTTACAATAACTAAGATTTGTAAGCAACCTATGTGCTTACAATAACTAAGATTTGTAAGCAACCATTAACAGATGAATGAATAAAGAAATTATGTTATATATACACAATGGAGTACTATTCAACCATAAAAAGAATGAGATCCAGTCATTTGCAAAGGCATAGATTGAACTGGAGATCATTATGGTAAGTGAAATTAACCAGGCACAGAAAGATAAACATTGCATGTTCTCACTTATTTGTGGGATCTAAACATCAAAACAATTGAACTCATAGACATGGAGAGTAAAAGGATGGTTCCCAGAGGCTGGGAAGGGTAGTACAGGGATGGGGGCCATGTAGGGGATATTTAGTAGGTACAAAAAAATAGAAAGAATGAGAATGTCCTACTATTTGATAAAACAGCAGAGTGATTATAGTCAATGATAACTTAGTGGTACATTGAAAAATAACATGTATAATTAGATTGTAACTCAAAAGATAAATGCTTGGCAGGGATGGATATCCCGTTCTCCATGATGTACTTATTTCACAGTGCATGCCTGTATCAAAACAAAATCTCATGTACTTCATATATATATATATATATATATATATCCACAAAAGTTAAGAAAAAACTTTTTAAAAGGTGGAATACTTACTTAATGAGAATTTTATTTCTAGTCCAGGAAATCTCAGGTTGGGGGTAGGATTCCACTGCACACATGAAAGTAGCCACTTCTTCAACTAAGGCATCCACTGTTTCAAGAGGAGTGGTGATGACAGGAGCTGAAAGGGAAGGATAAATCAAAGAGAACGTTCTAGAATTTTGTTTACTAACCCTTCCTTAAGCTGTCAGAAGCCATTACATACTGGAATGAGAATTCTATTTCCCCAGAGTAGAAATTTGCCAAAAGAAAGGAAAAGCTTATATAAAGAAAGTTGATCCTACTTCCAAACTAGGCATTTGATAATCAAAAGAGAAGGCCCTCGGGAAAGTAGGGCTTAGAATTTATGATATATATGAGAAGAGGCTGACCCAAGTTTAGTGGGGCCCAAGTTTATGTAATTTGAGTATACCTTTTAAAGAAAAAGATATAAAGTTATGATTACAAAATTTCTGTGGCCACCACAATGCCATCAGCATAAAGGAAAGTGAGACTGCAGGGAAGTCAGGGTGGAAAAGGGTAATAATTTTTTTTTTTTTTTTGAGACGGGGTTTCGCTCGTTACCCAGGCTGGAGTGCAATGGCGCGATCTCGGCTCACCGCAACCTCCGCCTCCTGGGTTCAGGTAATTCTCCTGCCTCAGTCTCCTGAGTAGCTGGGATTACAGGCACACGCCACCATGCCCAGCTAATTTTTTGTATTTTTAGTAGAGACGGGGTTTCACCATGTTGACCAGGATGGTCTCGATCTCTCGACCTCGTGATCCACCCGCCTTGGCCTCCCAAAGTGCTGGGATTACAGGCTTGAGCCACCGCGCCCGGCCAAGGGTAATAATTTTTTAAAAATTGTTGTTTAAGAATAATTTTCCCCTAATTTTATGAAAATAGACACTCATATAAACACAGTGCTAAAGCCCGTTGAAGGTCTTATAAAGGGCTTCTGCGAATGAGAGAGTCTGAAGCTTATGCTTTATCAGATTTACAGAGAATTCATTTTGGCATACAAATAGAAAAGAAAAAGACACCACTTTGTGAATTGTACACTTTAATGGGTAAAGAGCATGGTAGGTAAACTCAGTAAAGCTGTTTTGTTCTATTTTATTTTTTTAAAGACGGTTGGAGGAAAGATTGTAGACATGGTCTCTTCTTTTTCTCACTCTTCTGTGAAATGTAAAACCTTGAACTTTAGGTCAGGGATCATGTTTTAGACATCTTTTAATTCCCAGGGTGAGCATAGTGAGTGAGATGCATTTAAACAGTAAATTATATGGTCACTTCAGTTAAAGGACAAGGTATATATGAAAACCAAATAAGTAGTATGATTGATGTTCAGAGGTGAAATAGTGACAGACTTATAAAGCATCTAGAACAGACTGGAACATTGTTTGGCACGTTTATTTATCAATAAAACATTTATGGTTTTATTTCACATTGAAATAAGAATAGAAAAAATAATATGTGGACACATTGAATTAAAACTATAAAAATCAAAGATAAAATAACATTGAAATAAAACTATAAAATATCCACTTTCTGAATAAACTGTATTATTATTATTTTTGGTAAAGTCAAAGGCAAGCTCATCTGCTGAGAGTGAGAAAAAATGGTGGGCGGAAGTGTTTACTTGGCCCATATCTCCCATGCTAATGTTATTTTGTTTTTTAGGATTCAGTTTGAACATCTATCTCCTTCCACTTTCCTTGATGTGCTAGGCAGACCCAAAAGCCCTTTTCCTTAACCTGAGGTTGTACTGTAAATGTCAATGTTATAATGTCACTTGTCACACAGGCACTATTAAAATGATTTGTCTTTGTCCCACATACCTTTACATAACTAAGTAAAAATAACTGTTAGCTTAGAATTCTACAGCCAGCTTAGGTAATAATTTAAAGTCAGAACTCTTATGAACAACTGTTGAAAGTGTTTACTACTCATAGACTTTCTCTGAAATAGTTACTAGACTCAATAAGGAATAATATATACCAGATAGGAAGGGGTGAGTTATATTAAAAAAAAAAAAAAAACAGCGTAAATGGTGGTGAAATATAATTGCAATTTTAACACACTATGGAATATTTAAAAAACAAATCACTAATTTTTGTGTTTAAAATGGAATTAAATTCTAGACAAGCAATTACAAGATCAAAAGTTCTGGGAAAAAGTTTAAAATGCTAAGTAGTTAAAAAAAAATGCTAACCTCTTTGCCATAAACAACAACAGGACAGAAATATTGATAAGTAACTACAAACGGAAGGAAAATCTATGGTTAAATGCTATGTTAAAACTTTATTAATGGTTACCACTAAAAAAAAGAAATAAAATGCAAAACTTCCAAAACAACAGAAAAAGGGACTGGAAAATTTTATTAGTCAAAAACAAAAACAACAAGCAAAAGACTAAGCCAAGAAAAAGCATGGTTAGCAGAAGACATAAAATAATATGGAAGAAATAAGTCCAAATATACCAAAAATCACAGTAAGTGCCGGTGATATAAACTGACCTATGAAATGACAGATGCTATCAAACACAAAAGACACACCTAAATAAAATAAAACAGAAATGTTAAAAATAAAGGGGATGGAAAATATGTACAAAGCAAACAGTATCCCAAAGAAAGTGACATAGCAATGTTAATATAAGAAAAATGTAATATAAGGGCACATCCATTTATGAAGAAAGATAAAAACATTACTTAATGATAAAAGGAACAAGCCATAAAAAAGTATGACAATCATGAAACTTAATTATTTAAAAATATGGACTCAAACTCAAAAGCAAAATTATCACAAGAGTAAATGGAGAAATGCTTTAGTATAGTGCAAACCTTTAAGAGATCTCCTTCAGCCACTAATAAATCAAACAAATACAGTAAAGATATAGAAGATAGAAATATCAAAATTAACACTCAATGTAATGTGTATTTTTAAAACACTTAAAAAATTAGAGAATATATTTTTTAAATGATGCATAGATGAAATATTCAAACATACAGAAAATATACTAAGCTATATAGGAGATTTTAACCCAGTTCAAATAATCGATTTTATATAGACTATATTTTCTAGCCATAATAAAATCTGTAAGAAATAGACAATAAAAAGATAGTAAAACAAACAAAAAATCCCCATCCTGTTTATAGATCAAAAGAGAAAAATATAATTGCATATGTAGTAAAACAGAAAAACAGAATTAATAAAATTAATTAAACAGATATGCACATCAACTCTAAGCCCTGATAGGTGACACACATTTTCAAATGCTTATGAAAACTAAAGATTAAATAAAATTCAAAAACATAGATTATATGTCACATTCTTAGATCACAATTCAACAGAGCTAAACGGTAATGAATATTTAAAAACTCAAATCCAAAGAATTAAGAATTTTAAAGACAAAATTGTTCTAAATCATTCAAACATCAAAAAGGAAATTAAACTGAAATTAAAAGCATGAAAAACTACATATCAACATGTAGTAAAGGTTGTGGTGAAATAATTAACAATATTCACAGAAGAAAAAGATTATCAAAGAACACTTCTGAAAAAAATATAATGTCCTAAAGTTTTTCAGGTAAATTTTTAAAAACTTTTAAGAAAGAATTAAGTCTCAAGTAACAAAAAAGCTACAAGGAGCCAGATGCAGTGGCTCATGCTTGTAATCTCAGCACTTTGGGAAGCAGAGGCAGGAGAATCCATTGAGCCCAGGAGGATCCATTGAGCCCAGATGTTTGAGACAAGCCTGGGCAACATGGCAAGATCACATCTCTAAAAAAAAAAAAAAAAAAAAAAATAGCTGGGTACAGGTGGTGCACATCTGTAGTCCCAGCTACTTGGGAGCCTGAGGTAGGAGGATCACTTGAGACAAGAGGTTAAGGCTGCAGCGAGCCATGATTGCACCACTGCACTCCAGCCTGGGTGACAGGGAAAGACCCCATCTCAAAAAGAAGCAAACAAAAGCTATAGGGAATATAAAATATAGAAAGCTTCTCAAGTCAATCTTTAGAATAAAACAATGCTGATGTAAGTCAAGCAGGATGTAAAACCCTAGAGTAAAAATTTAAAAAGCAAATTAAATTCAATCACATATTTCAAAATTTCAACTATACATTTAGACAGAAAAAAAACCCTCGCAAAAATGTAAGGATAATTTAATAGAAAAGTCCTTTAAACAGGATTTACTATAGTCATAGTTTAAAAGATACCTATTGCAGTCAAAAAGGCAGTGGCAGAATTAACTATCCTTTCCCTACTTAAAAACCATTACTAAAGTAAGAATATACTGGTATTTCTTTAACACGATAAAAAATATTTCTCAACCACTGAGGATTGATAAAACTAGGAATATAAAAAACTACACAATATATTCACACACATTCACAGGACGATTCAAATTTGACTTGATGCAGAGAGAAAATAGTGTTCCATACAGAGAAAATGATGCATGCGAAAGCCTGAAGACAGTGGGAGGTTGGTGCCCTAAGCCAGTTCCAGGAAGACACAGACATTTATAAAAGATGGGGAGGAGAATGAAGAGTTTAGAAAAGAGACTAGAGGAAGAAACCAGAGTTGTAAGCAAAGCCAGTGGAGGCTGTTGGCAGAGCCCAAAAGTAGCACACATTTCACAAAAGAGGAAGAATCAAATGCTGCCAAGAGGTTTTTTTTTTTTTTCTTTTAATTATACTTTAAGTTCTGGGGTACATGTGCAGAATGTGCAGGTTTGTTACATAGGTATACACGTGCCATGGTGGTTTGCTACATCTATCCCCCAGTCATCTACATTAGGTATTTCTCCTAATGTTATGCCTCCCCAATCCCCCCAACCCTCTGCTATCCCTGCCCTACCCCCTCAGCCCCAGACAGGCCCCCAAGTGTGACATTCCCCTCCCTGTGTCCATGTGTTCTCATTGTTCAACACCCGCTTATGAGTGAGAACATATATGTGGTAGTTGGTTTTCTGTTCTTGTGTCAGTTTGCTGAGTGGTGGTTTCTAGCTTTATGCATGTCCCTGTCCCTGCAAAGGGCATGAATGAATCATTTTTTATGGCTGCATAGTATTCCATGGTGTATATGTGCCACGTTTTCTTTATCTGGTCTATTATTAATGGACATTTAGGTTGGTTCTAA